GGGAACTTGTCCATAATTTTTCCTCTAATTCTTTGTGCTGTGCTTCCAAATTCTTTTTCATTTGCTCATGGCAAATGACTCACCTGTAAATTGATGACAAGTTCCTGAAATTGAGGTCACTGTGGAAGGTAAGGGCCAGTCCTTGGCATGTTTCCATTGATTCTTAAGTTTAATAGTTATATCAGTTCACTAGCTATGTGTTTATACAGATGAAGTTAACCAAACTAGTTTTACCTGTGAGCAGCTGCCTTTGATAAAGGTAAATTTCTGAATGTTTTTAATTAAAATTTTGAAAATCATTAACAGAAAATAAATAACTTGGATCACATCATAAACTGCACTCAAGAAAGTCCCTAAAATGCTTTTCCTTTATTACAAGAAACAAGAGTGGAGAGGGTCACATGGAATGTTTTTTGATCTTTTGTCCTCTTTGTTTTTTCTATTCTTTTAAGGAAAGAAAGTTTAGGGGTAGTTTAAACAGCAGTGCCTGGAATGAAAGTATTTCCTACAACATCCTCTAATGTACTTTCTTTTCTCCATGTCCATGGAGTCTCTAGGATTCTCATCTTTTCATGTTTACAATATTAAAATACTTCATACAATACCAAAGACAATTCCCAACCAACCATCCAATATGGGTATTTCTTCCATCTCCTCATGAATGCAAGAGGAAATAACTGCATTAGGATCATTCTTTTTTCTTTTCTTTTCTTTTCTTTTCTTTTCTTTTCTTTTCTTTTCTTTTTTTCAGACAGATTAGGGCTGTAGGAACAATGTTACCAGGAATAACTTGAGTATTGTTTGCTACTGCAACCCAGCTGTGGTTTTCCAAATAGGGAGATGCCTGTTTTTCTCATATAAAAGTAATTGTGCAGGTAGGCTGAGGCTGACAGTGGTTTAGTTGCTCAAACGTAAGACTGGCTTCCCTGTGCATCTTCTCACTTTCGTTTCTGGTGCACGGTGACGGAGGGAGCTCCTGTCATCATGTCTCCATCCAAGCAAGATATAAACAAAGAAAAGGCAGCATGAGCCCTGTAAAAGCTAGAAGTCTTGCTATGTTTCCCAAGCTGGCCTCAAACTTCTAGCTTCAAAAGATCTGTCTACCTGGCCTCCTGAGTAACTGAGGCCATAGGTACACACCACCATGTCCAGCTATATTTATTTTATCAAATTTATTTTTGTAGAGAGGAGGTCTTGCTATATTGCCCAGGCTGCTCTTGAACTCATGGCCTTAAAACGTACTCCCATCTCTGCTTCTCAAGCTGTTGGAACTATAGGTGTGAGCCACTGCATCTGGCCTGACTTGAGATTTCTTTAATCTTGCAACCATTAGTTGGTAGGACTGGGAAAGGCAGTGATGTTGTTTTTTAAATTACCTAATAATTCAATTAGGATCAAACTCAACCTTGACTCCTGCCTTCTCTCGCAGTTCACATCCAGTCTGTCAGGAAATCCTGTTGACTGACTTCAACATACATCCAGGCTCTGACCATCTCTCACCACCACGATGACCCTGGTCAGGACCACTACCATCTCCCACCTGGATGTTGCCACAACTTGACCCTCATGCTTCTACCCAAATCTTCCCACAGTCTTTCTCAACTCAGCAGCCAGGGGGTGCTTTTAAATCAGGAGACAGATCATGTTGCCTCTCTGCTCTGAACCACCCTGCAGTTCTCATTTTAGTCAGAGTAAAAGTAAAAGCTCCAGCAATAACCTCCCAGGGCTTACACTATCTGTACTGATCCCAGCCCAGCAACTCCCTGGCTCCTCCCCTACTTATCTCCCTCTATCTCTTTGCTCCACTGGCCTCCTTCCAGAGCCTCAGGCACACCGGGGAGTTTCCTCTCAATGCATTAATCCTGTTGATTCAACCTACAATGCTCTTCCCTCAGCACCTTGGCCAGCTCCATCACCTGCTTCAAACTTTTGCTCAATTTTCACTTATGAGGCCAACCCTGACCACTCTACTTAACATTGCCATCTGTCCCCATTCCCATCATGCTTATTTTTTTCTTCTTTTTGAAAGAGGGTCTTGCTCTATTGCCCAGGATAAAGTACAGTGGTGCAATTACAGCTCACAGCAACCTCAACCTCTCAGACTAAAACAATCCTCCTGCCTTGGCCTCCCTATGAGCTGAGACACTTGGCTAATTTTTTTTTCTTTTTCTTTTTTTTTTTTCTTGAGACACAGTCTCGCTGTCACCCAAGCTGGAGTATGTTGTCACAATCTTGGCTTACTGAAACTTCCACCTCCTGGGTTGAAATGATTCTCCTGACTCAGCCTTCTGAGTAGCTGGGACTACATACAGGCTCCCGCCACCATGCCCAGCTAGTTTTTGTTTTTTACTAGAGACAGGGTTACACCATGTTGGTCAGGCTGGTCTTGAACCCCTGACCTCAAGTGATCCATCCACCTTGGCCTCCCAAAGTTCTGGGATTACAGGCTGAGACCTTACGTCCGGCTCCAACCATATTTTTTGAGGCTTGGAACTTTCAGCCTCACCGGCTGAACTCCAGGAAGCAAAAGGGGCTGGAAATTGACTTAACCACCAATGGCCAATGATTTTATCATGACTCCATAAAATCCCTAAACAATAGGGTTTGGAGAACTTCTGAGATGCTGAACATAAGGAGGTGCTGGGAGGATAGCGTGCCCAACAGAGGGCATGGAAGTGCCCCTCCCCACTTACCTTACCCTGTGCGTCTCTTTCATTGGCTGTTCCTGAGACGCAGCCTTTACATTGAGCCAGTAATAGAAAATAAACTGGCCAGATGTGGTGCTCCTTCCTGTAATCCTAGCACTTTCCCAGGTCTTTTTACCCTGGCCTCCAAAGTAGCTGGGACCCCAGGCATGTATTAGTGTACCATCATACCTGGCTAATTTTTAAATTTTTAATAGAGACAAGGTGTCACCATGTTTCCCAGGCTTGTTTCAAACTTCTGGGCTCAAGCAAACCTTTTGCCTCAATGTCTCAATGTGCTGGGGTTACAGGTGTGGGCCCCTGTGCCTGGCCTGGAACCATGCTACTTATATAGTCTGCAGAACCGTGAGCCACAGTCACTCTTAGAATCTTTCATTACCCTACAGAGAAATCCAAACCCCTTAGCCACTACGTTCTACTCCCCACACCTGCCTTGGTCCCCAGGCTTAGGCAACCATTGATTCATTTTTTGTCACTATAGATTTGCCTAACCTGGACAAACAGACTTGTACAATGTGTGATCTTTTGAGGCTTTTTTCCCTCTTAGCACGTTTTCAAACTTCCTTATGTCATAATGTGTGAAATATCAATATATCTTTCCTTCTATGGATGAATAATATCCCGATGTCTCTTCAGGCCAAGTTCACGCCTCACAACGGCCTTTCCGGGCCCAGCTCATGCCGCTCGACAGGCCCAGCTCCTCCTGGCCTGTTTCAGCCCAGCTCATGCCTCTCGTGTCCCGCCCAGAGGTGGGAGCTCCTACCTCACACTGGCCTCTCTGGTTCGAGGTCCTCCCTCACGCCAGCCCACTGGGGCCCAGCTCATGCCTCTCGTGGCCTCTCCAGGCCCAGCCCCTGCATGTGTGCAGGCTCTCCAGTCCCAGCCTCTACCTCGCAGTGGGCCCTCTCCGGGCCCACCTCTTGCCTCGCCGTGGCCCCTTTGGGCCAACCTCCTGCCCTTCGGGGGGCTCTGCAGGCCCAGCTCCTGCCTCCCAGTGGCCACTGTAGGCCAAGCTCATGCCTTGATGGTGCCCTTCCCAGGCCCCGCTTTTGCTTTTGGTGGCCTCTTCAGGCCCAGAACCTGACCTCCAGTAGGCCTCTCCGGGCCTGGCTCTTCCTCCCGGTGGCCTCTGCAGGCCCAAGTCATACTCAAGTCGGCTTCCCCCGGCCCAGCTCTTGCCTCTCGGCAGCCTCTCCAGGTGCACAACTTCCATCAGCCACTCCAGGCCTAGCTCCTCCTGCCTCCCGATGGCCTCTTTATGCCCAGCCCAGTTCGTGCCTCTTGGCGGCCTTCCCAGGCCCCACTTTTGACTCTTGGTGGCCTCTTCAGGCCCCGAACTTGACCTCCTGTCAGCCTCTCTGGGTTCAGCCTCCTGCCTCCCGAAGGCCCGTGTACAGGCTTAGCTTCTGCCTCACAGTGCACTCTCCCACACCTAGGCTGCAGCCTCACTGCAGCCTCCCCAGTCCAAAGCTCCTGCCTTCCGGCGGCTTCAATAGGGCCCGTTCCTGCCTCCCGATGGCCTCCTCAGGCCCAGCTCACCCCTCACAATGGCCTTTCCGGGCCCAGTTTGTCCGCTTTTGGTGGCCTCTCCAGACCTGTAGAGGCCCATTCTCGGCCTCCCTCGTGGCGGCCTCTCCAGGCCCAGCTCTTCCCCTTGCTCCTGGCTGCATCAACAGGCCCGACTGCCGCCTCGCAACAAGCAAACTTTGTGGGCTTAGCTCCTGCCCAGCTCCTGCCAGCCTTTGTAGGCCCAAACCTTTCTCAGCCAGAGCTGAGAAAGCCTTTGTAGGCTCACCTTCTGCTTCCCGGTGGCGTGCACAGACCCAGCTCTGGCTGGAGAACAGCCTCTGCGGGCCCCATGCTGGCCTCCCAGGGGCCTATCCAAGCCCGGCTCTCGCCTCCCGGTGGCTTCCCAAGGCCAGGTTCCTGCCTGCCTGCGTCCCAGCAGCCTCAACAGGCCCAGCTCCTCCCACACCGTGGCCTGTTTCGGCCTAACTCATGCCTCTCGCGGCCGGCCCAGAGGTATGAACTCCTGCCTCACACTGGCCTCTCTGGGCCGACGTCCTCCCTCACGCTGGCCCACTGGGGCCCGACTGATGCCTCTCGTGGCTCTCCAGGCCTAGCCCCTTCCTGTGGGTTGCCTCTCTAGGCCCAGACTCTACCTTGGACGGGCACTCTCTGGGCCTGCATCTTGCCTCACCGTGGACCCCTCGGGCCAAGCTTCTGTCCTTCGGTGGACTCTGCAGTCCCAGCTCTTGCCTCCCAGTGGCCTCTGTAGGCCAAGCTCATGCCTCGATGGCGGCCTTTCCAGGCCCAGCATTTGCTGCTTTGCATCCTCTCCAGGCCCAGCACTTCCTCCAGTCGGCCTCTCCGGGCCAGCTCTTCCTCCCGGCGGCCTCTGCAGGCCCAAGTTCCCCTCAAGTCGGCCTCTCCGGGGCCAGCTCCTGGGTCCCGGTGGCCTCTACAGGCCCAAGTCGTCCTCAAGTAGGCCTCCCCCATCCCGGCTTTTGCCTCTTGGCAGCCTCTCCAGGTGCACAACTTCCTCCCATCAGCCTCTCCAGGCACAGCTCCTCCTGCCTCCCAATGGCCTCTTTAGGCCCAGCCCAGCTCGTGCCTCTTGGCGGCTTTCCCAGGTCCCGCTTTTGACTTTTGGCGGCCTCTTCAGGACCAGAACATGACCTCCAATCGGCCTCTCTGGGCCCAGCATACTGCCTCCTGAAGGCCTGTATACAGGCCCAGCCTCCGCCTCACAGCGGACTGTCCCACACCCAGGCCTCCACCTCGCTGCAGCCTCCCCTGTCTGAAGCTCCTGCCTTCTGGCAGCTTCCACAGGCCCTGCTCCTTCTGCCTCTCAGTGGCCTGCGCAGACCCAGCTCCAAACCTTTCTCCAGCCAGAGCTCTATAGGCCCACCTTCTGCCTCCTGGTGGCCTGCACAGACACAGCTCTGGCTGGAGAACAGCCTCTGCGGGCCCTGCTCTTTCCTCCCAGGGCCTCTCCAGGCCTGGCTCTCGCCTCACAGTGGTTTCCCAGGGCCATGTTCCTGCCTGCCTGCCTGCCTGCCTCCCGGCAGCCCCTACAGGCCCAACTCTGTGGGCCCCGCACTTGCCTCCCAGGGGCCTCTCCAGGCCTGGCTGTCACCTCACAGTGGCTTCCTGGGGCCAGGTTCCTGCCTGCCTGCCTGCCTCAAGTGGGCCCCTCCAGGGCCAGCTCCTGCCTCCCATTGGCCTGTAGAGGCCCTTTCTCCGCCTCTCACGTGGCGGTCTCTCCCATCTGCAAGCCCAGCTCCTGCCTCTCAGTGGCCTCCGTAGGCCAAGCTCATGTCTCAACGATGGCCTTTCCAGGCCTTGCCACATTTAACACATTTCCAGAGTTTCTCACCAGTATGGTTTGTTTCTTAGAAAAGATTGAGTTGTGGTTAAATGCTCCATCACATTTTTTATGTATGTGGAGTTTCTCTCCAGTATAAAATTGCTTAATTAATAATTAATAAGGATGGAGAACCAGTTAAAGGCTTTGCCACATGTGTCTTCTGTAATTGCTGGGGTTCTCTCTAATATCAATTATCTTACATTTATTCAGGTTTAAGGACTTTTTAAAGACATTGTCATATTCCTTATTGTAGGGTTTCTCTTCGTATTAATTGTCTTATGTATAACAAGCATTCAAGACTAGTTAAAAGTTTTACCACATTTTTTGCTGTTGTAGGGTTTGTCTCTAGAAAGTGATCAGATATTATGTAAGGCCTGAGATGTGCTTAAAGGTTCTGTCACATTTTTATCCCTTGTAAGGTGTAATACAAATTCTCTTAGGCTTTGGGAAGCTGAGGCAGGTGGATCACCTGAAGTCAGGAGTTCGACACCAGCCTGGCCAACATGTTGAAACCCCATCTCTACTAAAAATACAAAAACCAGCCAGTGTGGTGACATGCACCTGTAATCCCAGCTCCTCAGGAGACTGAGGCAGAAGAATCAATTGAACTGGGAAGGCAGAGGTTGCAGTGAGCCGAGATAGTGCCACTGCACTCCTGCCTGGCTGAAAAAGTGAGATTCCATCTTTAAAAAAAATTGGTTTTAAAAATAAAATCTCTTAGGTTCATTAAGGTTTGAGGGCTGGTTAAAGGCTTTGTTACATTTTTTTACATTCATAAGATTTTTGTTCATGATGAATTCCCTTATGTACAATAAAGGTTTGGAACTGGTTAAAGGCCCGGCCACATTCCCCACCCTTGTAGTGATTTTTTCCAGTACAAATAGTTTTATGTATGTATAAGGCCTGAGGGCTGGACTTTGCCACATCTTCACATGTTTAGGGTTTCTCTCCAGAATGAATTTACTTATAGTAAAATGAGCACAAATTAAAACCTTTGCTACATTCCTTGCAATTGTAAGGGTTCTCTATCATGTGAATTATCTTATATTCAGTAAGGATTGAGCACTGATCAAAGACTTACCACATTCTTCACGTTTCTAGGGTTTCTCTCCAGTATGAATTCTCTTAGGTTTAGTAAGGTTTGAGAACCAGTTAAAGGCTTTGCCACATTTTTCACACTTGCAGGGTTGCTCTCCAGTGTGAATTCTCTTGTGTTCAATAAGATGTGAGCTCTGGTTAAAGGTTTTGCCACATTCTTCACATTTGTAGCATGTCTCTCCAGTATGAATTCTCTTATTTTTAGTAAGGATTCAGCCATGCACAAAAGCTTTTTCACATTCTTCATGGTTGTACAGTTTCTCACCGGTTGTACAGTTTCTCACCAGCATGAATTCTCTTATGTTGAGAAAAGTATGAGAACTAGTTGAAAGGTTTGCCACATTCTTCACATGTGCAGGGTTTCCTTCCAGTATGAGCTCTCTTGTGTCCAGTGAGAGGTGAGCCCTGGTTGAAAGTCTTTGGCACATTCTTCACATGTGTAAGGTTGCTCTACAGCATGAATTCTCTTATGTCCATAAGGTGTGAGCTCTGGTTAAAGGCTTTGCCACATTCTTCACATTTGTAGGGTTTCTCTAGGGTGCGAATTCTCTTATTTTGAGTAAGGTTTGAGAACCAGTTAAAGGCTTTGCCACATTCCTCACATTTGTATGGTTTCTCTCCTGTATGAATTCTCTTATGTTGAGTAAAATTGAGCACCAGTTAAAGGCTTTGCCACATTCATCACATTGAAAGATTAACATTGGTTAAGTCCATTATAACTTTTTTTCTGTCCCTTACACTAACCCACACTTTTCAGGTCTTTTAAGTTTAACTCTTCAATGCCATAGCTTTCATATCTTCTCAGTATCACTTTTGGGAATAAATGTTTTATGCTCTGCCCAGGCAAAAGTTCTGGAGTAAAATGAGAGGACACAGCTAAAAGGAATAAAAATAAACTATACCACTTATTAGGCTCAGGTGAATATACTTTACAAATACAAAATATAAAATTATGCCAAGCACAATAAAATGGCATAATACCACAAGCCCAAATTCCTTAATAGACATGTAAATGTAACAAAAATATATTGACCAAAATGCCTTTGTAAGAGTTCTAAAACCCAGTTAAAAGATAGCAGTGTCACAGATGAGAATGATGCCAAAATCCACACAGAAGACAAAAGAACATCTGTTACATTTACCCACCACAGCCATACCTCCTCCCCAATATAAAATAATGCCTTTAAGTGTAAACTCTCAATTCCTGGCTTCTCTCTCAAAAGTGAAAAAAAAAAAATAGTGGCACATGTGTCCATACTTCTGCCTTGAGGGGTCTTTCCAAAGACTGGCTTCTGTCTACTGTGAACCAGAGTGCTGAAAGAAATGGTGCTATACTTTGAATGACAGGTTAGTGTCTGTGAGACCAAAGGTAAATGATTGTTACAGCAGCAGAGAGACTGTAGGACCACACAGAAAAAGCAGGTGTATCAACTTATTACAGGCTCTTCAGCAGAAACATGGGCAAACCCACATAACTCAATAAATGGAACACAAATCTAAGGAAGAGACATCTAAAGAACAGGTTTGAGAAATTTTCAATATCTAGTCTGGTAAACTGGTGTAAGATACTTCAGGGTTGAAAGTCACTTTACACAGACTGACAGATGGCTTTTTATTTAATGTACACATCTCAACTAAACGTTACAATATATATAAAGCATCAGACTAACATGGCCCAATCAAAGAAACAAGTATGCAGAAATCAACCCTAAAGAAATGAACATGTATAAATTATCTTTAAAAATCAAGATAACCATCTCAATTATGCTCAATGTCTAACATGGGAACACAGAAAACTAAGTGTAATCAGGAAAATAAGAATATCAACAAAATGACCAAAGGAAAGAAATTGTAGAGCAGAAATATACAAAACATGACTGAGAAATTATCCAATGTATGAAAAAATATTAAAAACTGAAGCTCAAAAAACTTCAACTCGGATAAAGAGACCCATAACAAGGCACAATATAAGCAAAGTTTTGAAAGCCACAGAAAAGAAGAGAATCTTGAATGCAGAAAGTCAAGAGATGTATCATCTGTATGCTGCTCCTGCAAGATTACCAGTGAATTTTTGAACAAAAACCCTGCAGACAAGAGGGGAGTTGGGTTATATAGTCCAAGTCCTGAAGGAACAAAAACTTTCAGCAAAACTGTCCCACAAAATTTTAAAAATAAAGATTTTCCAAGATAACTAAATGCTGAGTAAGTACATCACCAGTACATCACCTGCAAGAAATGAAAAAAGAAGTATTTCCCATTGAAAATTTAAAATGATAGAAAACAAACCAAGTCATACAAACATACACAACTCTCTGGGAAAGATATGCACACACACAAAAATAAAACTTTGTAGTATTACAATAATTAAGCAGAAAACAATTGTGCTTTAAAATTGGAAAGACATCATGAAAATTAAAATACTCATTAGTAGATGATATACTTAGTGATGTCATAAGTTAAGGGCAGATGTAATGAGCAAGAATTTTTGTAGGCAACTGAGTGCAAGTTGTTACCAGTTTAAAATATAGAGTTGTAACTTATTTAAGAGATTTTATGTAATTGGTAACCATAAAAAAATGCAGATATGCAACAGAAAATAAAAAAAGCAAAGCATGTCACTGCAAATATCAACAAGACACAAAGAAATACAAAGTAAATACAGACAAAATAGCTACAAGGGTCAAATAAAACAACAAAATGGTAATTGTAAATCATTTCCTTTCAGAAAAGTATTAAAATATGCATGGACTAAACTTCCCAATCAAAAGGAAAATGTTAAATAAAGGGATTATTTTTAATTTAGAAACCAAAATCCACCTATGTCATTTCTCCCAGAGACTCACCTCAGATCTAATGATGAAAATAGACTGAAAGATGGAAAAAGACATTCCATGCAAATGTTAACCAAATGAGAAGCAGAGAACAAATTATATTAAGTCAAAAGCTGCCATATTTTATAAAATATAGTTTAAGTCAAAACTCACAAGAGACAAACAAGGACATTATATTAAAATAAAATGGTTCGTTCACTGGGAACCTATTTATATCTCCTATCATGGTTGCTAAATATATAAAGCAAGCATTGACACAAATGAAGTGATGTAACAGTGGGAGAGTACTTCAATACTTTCAGTAATGAATAATAAAGCATGACAGAACATTAATAGGGGAAGAAAAGACTTGAAAGCAATGTAAAGCAATTATACCTAAAAGACATATGGAACACACCACACAACAGCAGAATCCACAATATTTTCAATAGCTCATAAGAAAATTCTGCTGGATACAACATCTGTTATTTCACAAAACAAGTCTTAATCCATTTTTTAAACTTGAATATTACATGCTATTATTTTTGGCCAAATTGAATGAAACTAAAAATCACTAACAGAAGGAAAACTAAAAAATTTCACAAAATATGAAAATTAAACAGTACACTCTTAAGCATGCTCTTGTTCAAAGGTCGGAAGACTTAATCCTGTGAAGATGGCCATACTGACCAAAGTGATCTGTCTACACATTCAATGCAATCCCTTTCAAATTCCAAATTTCACTTTTCAAAATACAGGAAAACAACCCCCAAATCATGTGGAATATCAAGAAACCACAAAGTCCCTGACTACTTAAAAAAGGAAAACAATATTGGAGGCATCATACTTTAAGGTTTCAAAATATAAAACAAAGGTAGGGTAATCAAAACACTTTGGTACTGGCATAAAA